ATTGCTGATTTCTCCTGTTTCTTGGACGCTTTCCTTATCGTTGGGAGAACTCCAATGGGTGGGGGGAGGGTTGTACTTGTCCCCGCTGCACCCCTAGCTGGCAGTCCTGAATAATATCATTCATAGTTGAAATTAGCAGTTGACTGGTGACGACCTTCCTTTGTTCAACGGCAAATCTTCAGGAAAAACCATTTTGGAGCGTGTGGTGGGAAACTGGGAAAATATGGCAAGATTCTAGGTGAGATAGGGAAGAAGTAGAGGTCGTACCAGAGGAGTACTTCTGAGAGGGGGAGTCGCATTTCCCGGGAATTTTTCTCAGCGGCAGGACGTGCCCTGCTCTCTGTCACAACCAACCACTAATTTTAGCTACGGAGAATAGCAGTTATATTGGACTTTGACTGCGCCGCCAACTAGGGGGGCTGGGACAAATGCGGCCTTTTCTCCATTGGAATTCTACCAGCGATGTCGGTAGCACCCGTAACACAGGAAAAATCAACTATCAAAAAATATTTCTCTCGGATCAAATACGATCCTTTCCATTCCCCTCCAGTGACCGAGCACAACACTCCGCGCTGGGTTTTCTCAGCGCCGACGTGCCCTAGATGGGGAAAACTCGATGGGGTCGCAATTTCCGAAATTTTTTTCCAGCGGCAGGGCGTGCCTTGTAACAACTGTCCAACCCAACAGTACCGTGCTCACCCAGTGCGCTATCTAGACCCTATATGTTCTTGCTATCACCGAAAACGTTCAGAGAATCCAAACCTCAGCGATTTTGTGAGCGTATTGTCGTTGTCCATAGGTTATGATGTGCATTTCGTATAGTGCACTCATATGTTCGAGAAACTCATGCGTATACGGCCTTAGTTTTGTGTGGTATTCCGTGCCGAACATCTTGTAAGTGTGGATATCGCCGTGCTGAAGTGTAGAAACAAGGATTTCTATGGATTCCGAAAACTATGATCAACTTTCCTTACCACTTTGGGATCAACTTTGAATGGGCGATTTGTCGTGTGAATTATGGTTTGATCGAGGTCGACCAGCAACACTAGTTTACGGGAGTTTAAGACATTCTTCAAGTCTGCTGAACCCAATTCTGTCGCTAACTGCAACGAAAAATCACATAGGTTACATCAGAAAGAAGCTTTCCCAATCACTTACATCATCCGAAACGATGAGTTCTGGCACATGATGGATCATCGATACATTCGCTGTTGCAGCTTCTTTTCGCTGCCCAGCACGACCATCCTTCCTAGATTGACAAGAATGAATTTGACACAATCCCCATATATGTACAGTGGTCACCGGCACTATTTACCATTTATCGCCCCAGTTTCTGCAAAGGCCAGAACTTGAATTTGCCTGGAAAACTGGTTACCAGGGGCAGTTGGACGTCTTGACACGAATATCACGAATATCGCTCAATACGAAATCGCCTGGTTCCTCCACCACAGCAGAGGATCAGTCCTGGCAGATCACCATTTCGGAGGAAGGGAGCAGATTAGCAGAAGCAAGCCTTCTGAACCCCACCCCCTCCCCCCTTCACTTCATCCTTAACTTTCTTGGCATCCCATACAAATATTTGTTTCAAGGGGTCGAACTACCCTGGGAGCAAGTATTTAGCGCTTAGGTAATTTAGGCCATTTTGGCGCGGACGCTTGTGGCGCAAGCGTCAGGCGACTTCGGGCCAAACGGATGCAATATTCATGTTCTAGAAAACAAACTTTTCAGGAGAGAAATCTCTAGCCAGGTTCGAATGCGGAGAAAAAATTCGGTAAAACAGTTTCCAGATTGCGAGAAATTGGAGAGTAAAGGGTATAGTGAAACATAAAAAGGTGTAGTAAGAAAGAATGTTTGTGAAAAGAAACTGACTCTCTGAGATCACGACCGCAGGTTGCGCACATATCTTTGATAACAATAGCATGATGACATGGCTCGATACGAGCGATTAGCATATCCTGACAAAATAGACACTTTTAGAATTTCACAGCCTTCGAAACAGATTGTGGGACAACATCAGTACCAAGGAATGCAGATCTACGAATATTGAGAGAATTACAAACCTGAACCATTTCTGCACCTTTCCTCGCTGCACGATCAAACGTGACCACCCCTTCGATTGGTGCTTTGAGTTTCACCATTTCACCAGATGGTGTCTGGTACTCCAGCACTACCTGAAATCCGAACTTCCGAAACTTTATCAACACCAGATTCCAGTCTTTCACTTCACCTGTAGCATGTAACATGGTTTGACTATGGTATACCTTGTCTTCAAACATTACAGAATTATTTTTTCACAATATAT